TTGTTTCAGGAGAATTTGTAATTGGTTGTTGAAGCATTTTTATGATGGCTGCTTTAAAATCCTTGTCCAATAATTCCTACATCTGATTCATCTTGGTATTGCACCAGTTGATTATCTTTTCTCATTCAAATTGTGGTTTTCCTGAATTGATGAGCAACTTTTTACTGTATCCTGGACATTCTGATTATCACATTAGGAGACTCGATCTATTTGAATCTTCTATTTTAGTAGGCACTTTCTCTGTTTAGGTTTGGATTATAGGTTCTGTCTTACTTTGGGGGGCTTTAGTTCCAATGGCAGTTTAGTTTTTGAGCCCTTGCATGCTGTTTGGTCTTTTTTTCCTTCAGGTGATGCTAGTACTCCTGCTCAATCCACACTGCCTGATACTTTCTGCAGGGGCAGAAGGTCCTTCTCAGGGCTGTTTATTGTCTCTGGGTGACCATCCATGGAGGAAGGGGCAGAAGCCACTGGCCTGGGTATCTTTATGCCACTGGGTGGAGCACAGGGAGACACAGGGCTTCACATTGCTGCTGTGGGCGTATGGGATCACTCACTGCTCACTCAGCTTGTGAGTGGGAACTGGAGTGGCCAGGGCTTTGCTGCTGCTGTTGTAAACAGATTAGGCCCCCTGCAGGGACCCTAATTGTAGAGCTGAGGGTAGGGGTCTCACTAGGTCTCTGTTAGGCTTCCCTTCCCTAGTCTTTTGGTCAGAGAACAGGCTTTTCTTGGATTTTTTTGTCTATGACCATTGGCAGGTCCAGATTTCAGATCTCTCCTGCCCCCAGTCCGGGAGAAAAAAAGAAAACCCAAGGAACTCACCCCATTGTTGTTCCTCAAGTTCTGAGGTCCCTATCCAGTCCTCCTCCTCCTTTCCAGCTCTCAGAGTTCTTTTATAATTGCCCGTTGAATAATTTCCAGGGCTCTTAGTTATAGTTAGAGGGAAGGATCAGGGGAAAGAGCACACACGCCACCTTGTTCTGGAACTGGAAGAGCTAACATATATTTTTGATGCCCACTCTGTGCAAAGCACTCAGCTTCCACAGCTGACCACACAGAGGCAGACTCTCATGGACCTTGCTGACTGCCTGGACCATGAACATGCTTTGTCTCTGCTCTGCATATAGGATGAAAAGTTTTCTCGATGTGTTTGCACAGTCACTAAATGGGTCAAAATCTGCATTCCTCTGGGTGCCCTCCATCCTTTGCTGTACCTCTGTCTCCTGCCCTCGGGCCAGCTCAGTAAGTGGGTCTCTCTTCCATGTGCTTTCTGTGGCTCTCTCCTCTCCTGCCTTCCTGTCAGCCAGCCAGCCATCACTCCCACTTCAGGGTAACTCCTTTTGGAAGGCTCCTCACTTCAGTCCTTACTTCTAATTTGCTGAGGGTTAAGGAAATCATACAGCCAAGATTGTTTATATTGTATCTAAATTAGGAGTAAATTGACTGTGAAGGAGCACCTATGAAACTTTACGTTATGAACCAGAGCTTGGGCACTCGGAGTTTTGATAATATTTTGGCAATTCAGTGGCTGTTTTTACTACAGTCTTGTTGTTGGCTGTGTTCCAGATAATCAAGGCTGCTGGAAAAGTGGCCTCTAGATAAATGAGGCATTTTTTTCATTTATTTTGTAAACATCCCCCCCCCGACACCCCATACAACACCTAACACTTTTAAACTCATGACTCAGACCCAATAAGCCTTTGTTGGGGAAAATACACAAAAGTGGAGATACTTTTCTCAACTTTCTATTACAAGAAAATAGCTGAAAGGATGTTTCACAGCACTCTCCAAAAGAAATTGTTTCTGTGCCAAAATCAAACGTGAGATATTTCAACCCAAAATAAAATCTGACAATGCCATGGGTGACTTAATTACAGCTCGTCTACAAGAAAACAGGATGAAGGCAAAAGGGGATTTTTCAGTTGAGCTCTGTTGGAAATCAAATCCAATTCTAATTCTCATTAACTACGTACTGGACCACACCATTTCCAAAATGTACAACACTCCTATCCGAGGCCCAGGTTTTAGTTTTTGGGCTCAGCGCCAGGTGCCTTCCATCACCGAGAAGGAAACCTGGAAGGCCACATCGCAGGCCCTGGAATTAGGCCTAGCTGGTAAATGGACGTGTGTGACTTCACAGGACAAAAATAATAGACTGCCAAACACTTCCAAACTCACTTGTTTGGACTCAAGGTGAGGCCCCAAAATAATCACATACCTGCTTTCCTAGTAGCCTTTGGCCGAGGCTACCAAATCCTTATTAACAGCACACCCATCAGGCCCAGACCTGCCACCCTTCTCTGGTTGCTGTCTCCCCTCCATGCACAATAGAAAGTGTTATTTGGATGACTTGGCCTCCCTCCCCTGATAAATTTGCTGAGTAATTAATCCAGAACTGTCAGCTGATTATTTAACCGCCGAAGCCTCCTGTTCCAGCCTCACCGCTGCACGATGTGGGCAATTGCATCATCCTGAGGCCCGGCTTTCTTTCTCAGGCCCAGCCCTGTCTCTCCCCCAAGGGCTCAGAGAAAAGATGCTTTTTAAGGAAATTGGCTCTCAGGAGCTGTTGTTTCCATGCACTCTATCCTTCCATGGCAATTGTGGCCTGGCAGCAGCCTGGGCAGTGATTTTTGTCCAGCAGCTTCTGCATCTGGCTGTGCGTGAGTGTCTGTGTGTGTGCATGCACACGTGTGTACACATGTGCACAAACATTCCAAAACAGAAACATGGGGCTGGCCCCATGGCCGAGTGGTTATTGAAATTTCATGGCCCAGGGACCGGCTCCATGGTGAAGCAGTTAAGTTCGCACATTCAGCTTCTCGGTGGCCCAGGGTTCACCGGTTCGGATTCTGGGTGTGGACATGGCACCGCTTGTGAAGCCATGCTGTGGCAGGCATCCCACATATAAAGTAGAGAAAGATGGGCATGGATGTTAGCTCAGGGCCAGTCTTCCTCAGCAAAAAGAGGAGGATTGGCAGTAGCTAGCTCAGGGCTAATCTTCCTCAAAAAAAAGAAAGGAAAGAAAGAAAGAAAGATAGGAAGGAAGGAAGGAAAGGAGGGAGGAAGGGAGGGAGGAAGGAAGGAAGGAAGGAAGAAAGAAAGTTCCATGGCCCAGGTTTGTGGGTTTGGATCCCAGGTGTGGACCTGTTCTGCTTGTCAGCCATGCTGTGGAGGCATCCCACATACAAAAAATAGAGGAAGATGGGCACAGATATTAGCTCAGGGCTAATTTTCCTCAAGCCAAAAAAAAGAGGAAGATTGGCAAACGGAAGTTAGTTCAGGGTGAATTTTCCTCATCAAAAAAAAAAAAAACAAAAACAGAAGTGTGCTCATGGGCACTTTTTTCTTGACCAGCTCTTGGGACTTCAAACAGCCTCTTAACAACGCCCCCACATACGACCTTCCCCACCCAATCCCTGCTCCTCACACCTACTGGATGAGTCTTTCTGGAACCCGAAACTGAGGGGAGTTGCATCTCTGCTTTGCAGAACCTTTCAGAGACTCAATTTAACTGCCGGCAATGGGGGTTCGGACCCACCGTCTACCTCAAAGCCTCAGTTTCCACGGTCCTCTCTCCCTTTACACTGCTCAGAAAATGCCCACTCACTTTTCAAGACTCAATCAAGACTCACGTTCTCTATAAAACCTTTCCCAACCCCTCCATCCTTCTCCCCACCTCAGCACGTGGAAATGACACCATATTGTGTATTTTGTAAGTCCTAAATCCCTACACAAAGATCTCTATTGGGTGAAAAGCCCCAGCAAGGCAGTACCTCTGCAAGTTATCTTTGTATGTCCAGCTTTTGACCTGAGTACCTAGCGCACAGCAGCACTCGACAAATGTTTGACAAGTGGACAAATGCACCTTTCATCTGGCAAAGAATTCCAGGCCCTTCCTGGAATAAAGGACATGTTAAAAAGAAAAAAGTCTGAGCCCAAGGGGAACTCTCACATCAGGAAAAGTATGCAGAGAGGGATCCTGCTGGGTCCTCCAAGGAATGCACAGAAGTGCCTCCCAAGGGGCCTACTGTGTGAATGCCAACCACACAGAGGGCGCTTACAGCCAGCCAAGACCAGGGCGGAAGGGCCCAGAGCCATTCCAGCTTCTCCCTTCCACCTGCCCTAGCACAGCAGAGCAGGAGGCTAGGACAGGCAGAGGGAGGAGGAGGGAAAGAGCAGACCTTGTGTATACTCCTGCTCAGCCATGGTCCCCAGAGCCTGAGCCAGGCCAGTACTGCAGGAAGGGACGTGAGGAGAGGATTTTAACAGCTGGCTCCCTTTCCTGCTCCTTCTTTTCTGTGTCTGTAGGCTCTCACTCCCCTTTTAAAGCTTACTCCCAGAAATGCATGCGAGAAGAACCCTGCCAGAGCACGCATACCTGCCTTCATCTCAAATCTCAAATCTCTAGTGATGACAATAAAGTATGCTTTATAAAAGGAAATTGCCCCTAACTGGGCCAGACATTGGACCAGACCCTGATAAGACCCCGTGACAGATGAGGTCAGGTGGAGGCAGAGACCACATCAAGAGCCTGCCTGCTCACCACACAGCCTGTCCTGTCCCCACCACCCCGCATCACTAGGCTGTAACAAAGGAGGAACAGCGTTCAGGCAACCCCCCGATACAAAACTGGAAAACACATCCACAAAAGGACAAGTATTTAAAGACAGTGACTATCAAGAAAGAAGCATCAAACTCATAAGCGGAAGAATAAATTGTTCAGAAAAAGAATTAAAAGGAAACAGAAGGAGACTTGAAAACAAATATAATTAATTTTGTACCAGCCACATGTACAAATTCTTTTACGTATAGAAATTTAAAATTATTTAAGCAAAAAGTACCGAAAAGAACAGAAGTAAAATCTTCCAGGTCTAAGAGAGGACAGGCTTTATTTATAAAAGAAGAGGAGGAGGAGGGAGAGGAGGAGGAGAAGAAAAAGAAGGAGACGGAGAAGGAAGAGAGGAGGAAGGGAAGAAGAAAGAACATAAAATTCTATACTCAACTGAACTGCCATTCAGGTGTGAGGGGGAGAAAATGTCCAGTTACGTCATGGTAAATTGGATTACTGTTCTCAGTTCTTTACTCCCTCCCTTGACTATGGGACCAGGAAGAGACTCGTAGCAAAGAAGGAGGAGTAGACACCCTCGCCCTATTGGCTTTGATCTTGGTCATGTGACCTACTTAGGCCAGTGATACTCGAGCAAAGCCTGGGCTGTGTTCGCGGGGTTTGGCCCAGCCTCTCCAGCTCCTGCGGTCGGCCGTGGGAAGAGTGTGCCCCAGGGAGCCACTTCATCCAGGAGGAGACACATGGAACAGAGCCAAATCCAACTTACAGTTGAAGCTAAGCCCAGATAAGCCTGTCCAGAGACAGTCACATTCCAGCTGACCCACAGACCCACAAACAAGCAAAATATATGTTTGTCATTATAAGTCACAGGACTCTGGGTTAATTGTTATACAGCATTAATGCAGCAACACCTGAATAATACACAACACACAGAAAGTTCACTATTCAGGCCCTTTCTCTGAAAGAATTGCTAGAGGATATCCTTCTTCAAAATGTAATACAATCCAAGAGACAGGGAATTTTAAAAAGCGGTAATAAAATATATAGTTACATCTAACTGGCATTGATTTTAAGAAAAATCAACAATAGTCTTTTTTAATAAAGTTTTAATTTTTAATTTATTTATTTTTGAGGAAGATTAGTCCTAGCTAACATCTGCCACCAGTCCTCCTCTTTTTGCTGAGGAAGACTGGCCCTGAGCTAACATCCGTGCCCACCTTCCTCTACTTTATATGTGGGATGCCTGCCACAACATGGCTTGCCAAGCAGTGCCATGTCCGCACCCGGGATCCAAATTGGCAAACCCCAGGCTGCCGAAGCGGAATGTGCAAACTTAACCACTGAGCCACCAGGCTGGCCCAACAATAGTCTTGATGATTATTCCAGATGATCTCAAAATGAGAAGTGGTAATGACAGGAAAAGTGAAGTTAGGGTTTTGTTTTGTTCAGATGGAACAGTAAGGGATGAGGAATAGAGATGTAATTAAATCAACACTGATAGGAGAAAATGTGTCATTGTGCAAATTAAAGCTCTAATCGTAATCACTAGAAAAATATAGACTGGAGATGTGTTACTTTCAATCCATTAGAACAAGAAAGAAAGGAAGAAAACCATCAATCCAACAGAAGGCAAGATTTTTTTAATTAAAAAGGAGAAGAACAGGCAGAATATTAGTGACAAAGCATAGAATATGATGGCAGGAATAAATTCAAAAAGGTAAGTAATCAGTAAAAAGTCAAGGTTAAGTTCTTCTGTAAAGGCAGACATTTGGGAATTATAAGACGCTCCTGAGACAAAATAATGCAAAAAGTATAGAAAGAAAAGATAAAAGCGAAAAAAGCATAGCAGGCAAACACTAAGAAATAGATACTGGAGCAATATTACATCCAGACAACAAGATTTGAAGACAAAAGCATCAAAGAGGACAAACAAAAACTATACTTAATTAGTAAAAAAAGGAAAATCCATATAACAATCATCAACCTGGATGAACCTATCAACTAATTCCAAAGTATTTAATACAAAACTGATAGAAAGGCAAGAAACGGACAAGTCCACCTCACAATGGATATTTTAACACATTTCTTCCAAAACTCAACAGATCGAATAGACCAAAAAACAGGTGAGGGTCTAGAGAATTTAAATAACCTAATGAACAGGAATGGCTTAACGGAGACCTTTGTGTGCAACAAGCAGAAAATATATATTTATTCCAAACACACAAAAATCGGCCACTATCAGGATTAAAGAAAACCTCAAAACATTTCTCAAAGCAAAAATCTCCCAGGGCATCTTCTTTGAACGCAATTCCATAAAATATAAATTAATAGCAAAAAAGAGAGCCAAAAACCCAATTCATCTGAGAACTTTAGAACAACAGAAAAATTCAAACAGACTTGTGAATTATTTTAAAAGAAACACAGAGTAGTGCATGTCAAACCTATAAACTTCAGTCAGAGAGGTATTCTGAAAAAGATTTAGTCTTTAATGCAAATATTAGAACATTTTAAAAATGAAAATGGATGCAATAAGCATTCAACTCAAGAAGCAAGGAAAAAAATAGCAAAGCAAAGAATGAAGTGCAGAATTAGTAAATACAAAAGCATAAACAAGTGAGTTTCTTCATGAAGCCAAAGTTGCTTTTCTTGCAAACCAGATTAATAGCTAGATAAATGACTCTTAAAAAGGAGGGGGGAGTCAAGAATTTAGAATGTAGTTGCCTGTGTTTGTGTGTATGTGTGTAAGCAAATGAATATAAAATTGATGGGGTCTCAAATCTGTGGGAAATTTAATAAATTCTATTGGGACAATCAATAAAGTTTACTGGAAGAAAATTAAGGTTAAATCCCTACCTCACAGCATATATACAAAAATGAATTCCACTGGCACAAAAACAGACACACAGATCAATGGAACAGAATCGAGAGCCCAGAAGTAAACCCACACATTTATGGACAGCTAATATTCGACAAGGGAGCCAAGAGCATACGATGGAGAAAGGAGAGTCTCTTCAATAAATGGTGTTGGGAAAACTGGACAGCCACAGGCAAAAGAATGAAAGTAGACCATTCCCTTACACCATGCACAAAAATCAACTCAAGATGGATTAAAGACTTGAATGTCAGACCCGAAACCATGAAACTTCTAGAAGGTGGTACGCTCTTTGACATCTGTCTTAGCAGCATATTTTCAAGTACCATGTCTGACCGTGCAAGGGAAACAAAAGAAAAAATGAACAAATGGGACTACATCAAACTAAAAATCTTCTGCACAGCAAAGGAAACAATCAACAAAACGAAAAGACAACCTAACAATTGGGAGAAGATATTTACAAACCACATATCAGATAAGGGGTTAATATCCAAAATATACAAAGAACTCATACAGCTCAACAACAAAAAAACCAAGAATTCAATTTAAAAAAATGGGCAAAAGATCTGAACAGAGATTTCTCCAAAGAAGATATACGGAAGGCCAACAGGCATATGAAAAGATGCTCAACGTTATTAGCTATCAGGGAAATGCAAATCAAAACTACAATGAGGTATCACCTCACTCCGGTCAGAATGGCTATAATTAACAAGACAGGAAACAGCAAATATTGGAGAGGATGTGGAGAGAAGGGAACCCTTGCACCCTGCTGGTGGGAGTGCAAACTGGTGCAGCCACTATGGCAAGCAGTATGGACTATTCTCAGAAAATTAAGCATAGATCTACCATGTGATCCAGCTATCCCACTGCTGGGTATTTATCCAAAGAACAGGAAAACACAAAGGCATAAAGACACTTGCACCCCTATGTTCATTGTGGCATTATACACAATAGCCAAGACTTGGAAGCCACCTTGGTGCCCATCAAGGGACGAATGGATAAAGAAGATGTGGTATTTATACACAATGGACTACTACTCAGCCATAAGAAACGACAAAATCTGGCCATTTGTGACAACATGGATGGACCTTGAGGGTATTACGCTCAGTGAAATAAGTCAGAGGGAGAATGTCAAATACCATATGATCTCACTCATAAGTAGAAGATAAAAACAAAGACAAACAAACACGTAGCATTGGAGACTGGATTGGTGGTTACCATAGGGGAAGGGGGGAGGGGGGCGGGCAACAGGGGTGATTAGGCTCACATGTGAGGGGATGGACTATAATTAGTTTTCAGGTGGTGAACATGACGTGATCTACACAGAATTCGAAAGATATTACCATGTACATCCAGGGGAAAAAAAAAAGAAATTAACATTTGGTAAATTAGAATTGAGCTGTATGATATGCTTCTGTCAGTTTTGTTCCTGATTATGAATTCCAAATGTATTACTACCTTAAATTAAATTCTATATTACATATATACACATGTGTGCAAAAAAAAGAGAAAGAAATTCCAAATGAATCAAAAAACAAACATAAAACACACACTATAAAAGCATTACAAAAAATATAAGATAGCATTTTTGTGAATTCAGGGTAGAGTAGAAGTAAAATGCAAGGGCTATAAAGAAAAGGACTACATGCTTTTTTTTTAATTGTGTACAACCATCACAAAAATACAGGTTAAAAACAGCAGATTGGAACAAAATATTTGCGAAGTGCATGAAAGATAAAGAATTAGCATCCAGAATTATAAACAATTTAATAAGAAAAAAGGAACGACCCCTTTTTTTAAACAGGAGGACGTGGATAGACAATCTACACAAGGAGAGCTACAAATAGGCACTCAGTATGTAAAAGGATGCCAGCCTCGCCAGTCTTTGCACGGAGCACTGCCACCACCACCTGGCTGTGGGGAAGAGAGAGAGCAAAGATGAAAAGCACAAAACCTTTCACTTGACCCCTTTTAGGACATTCGCAAAGTGGCAATGGAGAAAAAGAACTTCGGTGTGCTAAAAGGAGGCATTATGCCAGGACGTCTCCCACCAAAATTTGATTCGTGACTTAAAGGGCCTCTCTGATCCACCACAAGCTGTGGCTCCGAATTTCTGGAACTTTGAGAGCAGCACAAATTCCTTTAGGTCTCCGTCTGCGCCATAAATGCGATCAGACTCTGTTTTTCTTTTTGGATCACACATTCCGCAGCGAGGCTCACGTATAATTACTCTTGAAAACTCACCCACGTGAAAATCAGGCCACAACGTTTTTTCATGCAAAAAGCACCCAGTCCTTCCCAGGGTTGCAACATGAAACCTAGTCAACGTCTTAGAAACCACAGACCCGGGCTTGCCCACAAAAACACCACTCCCTGGGGCCCAAGCCCACTGAGCCCTGGTAGAGAGCGCTCAATCATGGGATGCATTAAGAGCTAAGCATAAGACGCGGAATTAATAGCTAACAATTAAGAGAACATCAGCGGACATGGGCCAGGCCAGGGGAAGACATGTTAGTTATATCAGGACTTCCCATGTCATCTGAGGACACAGCAGCCTGTCCTGGAGACCAGCCCTTACCTTCAGGAAGTCCTGCAGTTAACCATCCTATTTGTTTTTAATTGTGGTAACATACACATAACACAAAATTTACCGTCTTAACCTCTTTTACATGTACTGTCAGTAGCATTAAGTACACTCACCTTATGAACGTTCTCCACCATCCACAGAACTCTTTTTATCATCTCATTTGAAACTTTGCACCCATTCTGCAATAACACCCTAAACCCTCTGTCCCCAGCCCCTGGCAACCACCATTCTGCTTTCTGTCTGTATGAATTTGACTACGCCGGGTACATCATTTGACTGGAATTCTGTGTTTGTCCTTTTGTGTCTGGCTTATTTCACTTAGTATAATGTCC